CCGCCCCGGCCTCCCAAAGTGCAGGGATTACAGGTGTGGGCCACTGCCCCAGGCCAGCTGCACCACTTTAAATTCCCACCCGCAGTGAACAAGGGCTCCAATTTCTCTACATCCTCACCAACACTCGTTAGTTTCTATGTTTTAAATAATAGCCATCCTCTTGGGTATGGTTTTTGTTTGCGTTTCCTAATGATTAATGATGTTGGGCATCTTTTCATGTGCTTAGTAGGCATTTATGTATCTTCTTTGGAGAAATATCTATCCAAGTCCTTTGCCCATTTGTAAACTGGGCGGTTTGGTTTTTGTTGTTGCTAAGTCGGCAAATGTGTTTTTGATCTAGATTGAGAAATCCTTACCCGGAGACTCTGAAGCAGTTAGCAGCCACAGTAAAGGCTGTGTGACTGAGCTCTGACTACGCCACAGCCTTGCAAGTGAATGCCACTTAATACTCAAAATAACCACACAGTTCCCCAGAAAGGAAATGAGTTTGGAGAGGGCCAGCAGCTCCATGTCACACAGCAATGACACTGACATAAATGGCTCTGGAGGGCAAGGACTTGCAGGGCCTGGCTGCAGATATGGGGACTCACGTTGAGGTGGCACTGCTCACCTGGAGCGGCACACTGGAGTCACCTGGGACCAGCCTCCTAGAAGTCCCCATGCACCCGCCTGTCAGAAATTCTCAGCTCGGAGATTTTTCAAAACTCCTAGGTCCAGTGGTTTCTGGCAACAGCGGGCACATTAGCATCACCCGGGGAGCCTGAAAAAGCCGGTTGGCCCAGCCTGCCCTCACCCAGACCAGTTCATCAGAACCTCTTGGGGTGGGGGGCGGGGCTGGGGTAGGGAGCAGCAGCCAGGTATCAGTATTTTTGAAAACTGCCTGAAGAACTCCAATGCACAAGTCAGTCAAGGACCCCCACAAACTCAACACCGCGACCAGACTGGAAAAGGTGTAAGTTGGTGCTTGTTCGCATGCCTGTTTGATTGGTTGGTACGGAGGTGGGACGGGCTCTGGGTGCGAGCGGGAGACCGCTCCAGCCCACACCGCAGCATGCAGGGCGGGGTCCGCTCATCCTCGGCGGGGCGAGGGGGTTGGGGGGCTGTGGCCTGCCGAGCTCACCGCGCGCCCTCGCGCACCCGGGCTCGGGCCTGGCGGACTGGGTTTGCGCCCCGCGCCCCGCGCGCCCCTTTCTAAAGTAAACACCTAGGAGCGACGGTGGCAGGACCGGTGCAACCCAGCGCCGCCCACGGCCGCTGCTCGCTGCCTGCCTCGGTGCTGCAGGCCCGGGACCGAGCCATGGCCGAGGGGGTGCTGGCCTCGCCGTCAAGCCTCGGGGGCAGCCGGGGCCCGCACAGCGGCGTCATCCAGTGGTGAGCCGCCCGGCCCCTGGGACGCTCGGATGGAGGAGGTGGGGCCGGGGAGGGGAAGCGTGGTTCCCGCTACGGCTGCCCTCGGGACGCCGAGTGAAAGCCGGGTGTGAGGAGCGGCCCCAGGCCCAGCGCTTTCTGATGCCCGCATGCCCGCCCCAGCGCGGAGGGACCTCCCATGCACGGACACGCGTAAAAGCCCCGGGTCCGAAACGGCAATGGGGCCGGGCTTCCCATCTGTGGGTTCCCCGTTGTCACCCTTCCCGCGTAAAGCCGTCCGGTCTGCCCCGCGGCGGCCCGTTGGTTGGACTCTACTTCCATGTACATCCAAAAGCGCCTGGGCATTGGCCAGGGGAGGAAAAGCTGCTCTCCCTAGATCCAGGATGAGATGTTTCCTCAGTTAAAGCTAAGGAGTTTTTAGCTTTCCACATTGCATTCCACATTGTGAAATTCACTTCTAGCTATTTAAGTCGAAGCAGGAAAAAGGGGAAAGAAAAATATCCTTAGCCCTTGGGACTGAGAAACTCACGGGGTTGCAGATCTTCTTAAATAGGAAAATAATTGAAACCAGTTCTAGGACCTTTAGTTTTACAAGGTGGATAGCTGTTATATAACAGAGTGCATTTTTCTGTTTTTAAGTTTCAAAGCATATTTCTCAGGGAAGACTTTTGAAAAAGTCATGTGAGTGAAATAAAAAGGAAGGGCGTGTTTGTGATTATAACCCTGGCAGGCCTAAACAGTTACCATTTTCCTCCAAAAGAACATTTTTGATATGTCTTATCTTCAATGAGATTTAAAAAAAAATCGAATGAACACTGAAGCACACAGCGTTTTTCAGGGTTACACAGCTGGGCTGGATTTCTGCTACACTCACTGACCCCAGGCCCTCATGCACCGTTCTTCTTAGAAGAAAGGACTCAGATGCCTTCCAATGACTTCAGGTAGCCATTTAGTAAATTAGAGTTTCCAGGGTTTAAATTATGCTCCAGAGACTTGAAAGAATGATGAGACTGATTTAAAAATACCTGAACATCCTCCTAAGACTGTGTACTCACTTCAAATGGTAACCAGGTGGCGTATGATGGTCTAGACCAAGCTTGTGCCACCCTTGGCCTAAGGGCCGCATGAGGCCCAACGCAAATTTGTAAACTTTCTTTTCCTTTTTTTGTGTGTGTGTGATGGAGTCTTGCTCTGTTGGCCAGTCTGGAGTGCAGTGGCATGATCTTGGTTCACTGTGACCTCCGCCTCCTGAGTTCAAGTGATTCTCCTGCCTTATCCTTCCGTAGTAGCTGGGATTACAGGCCTGCGCCATCATGCCCTGCTAATTTTTGTATTTTTGTTAGAGACAAGGTTTCACCATGTTAGCCAGGCGGGTCTGGAAGTCCTGACCTCAAGTGATCTGCCTGCCTCCGCCTCCCAAAGTGCTGGGATTACAGGTGTGAGCCACCATGCTGGGCCTTCATAAACTTGCTTAAAACACTGTAAGATTTGTTTTGGCTCATCAACTATCATTAGTGTTAGTGTATTTTATATGTGACCCAAGATAGTTCTTCCAGTGTAGCCCAGGGTAGAAAAGATTGGACACCCCTGGTGTAGACCGTTTTAGCAGAGAGTGTGACTTATTCAAGTCCCATATTACAAGTTCTTATCCCTATAGGTCCCTCTTCAGGGTGGGGGAGGTGGAGGCAATGGAAATAAGGGAGGGGTCACCGTTTCATTGGGGAGGGCTGTTCTTTAGACATCCAGCTGATGAGGTAGTATGTTTAACAGATCGTTGAGGCCAGCTGTGGTGGCTCAGGGCAGTAATCCTAGCACTTTGGGAGGCCGAGGCAGGTGGGTCACTTGAGCTTAGGAGTTTTGAGACCAGCCTGGCTAACATGGCGGAAACCTGTCTCTACTAAAAATAGAAAAATTAGCTGGGTGTGATGGCAGGCACCTGTAAATCCCAGGTACTCTAAGGCTGAGGCAGGAGAATCGCTTGAACCTGGGAGCTGGAGGTTGTAGTGAACCAGGATTACGCCATTCCGCTCTAGCGTGGGCAACAAGAGTGAAACTCCATCTCCAGCAACAACAAAAAAAACACCCAAAACAGATAGTTGGCACTAGTGGTTTTAACATCAAGAACAGCCTCGGGTATTCGAAAGCCTGGAAGGTGTTACCAGTGCTGGAGGGGCAGTAGTGGGTAGTGCAGGGCGAGGGGCCTGAGTGCCTGGAGACAACTCTGTTAGCCAGCATCTGAGTGAAAGACCAGGGAGGGGCCCAGCTGTTGTCCTGTGGAGGAAACCTGCCATTTTCCACATTACTTCGTTGTTTTGTCTTCTAATCAGTCACTTGTTAGGTCCTCAGCATGTCTTAGAGACATCAGTGCCGTTGTCATCCACACTGGATAAATTCTCCCAGGAGAAAGGTCCCAGGAGAGCTTGGTCAAGTCTCGGGGGCCAGAGGTAATAGAAGGTTTGTGTTTCATGGACAGGAAAGACTGCAGAAATGGGGAGAGCTGGGGTTAAAGCTCTGGGGAGCACAAAGAAATGAAGAACAGTGATCTGACTTCCTTGCTGGGGTGCAGACCTAGTAGGTCTGACCCCTGGCTTCAGACCAGGCAAAACCTAAGCATTATCTAATCCCAATGCATGCTGAGCCCTGGCTGTAGACTACATAACTATTTCCCACATGGATTTTCACAAATTTCTGCAGACTCTGTTGAAATTTTAGAAATACAAATGTATTTGGAAAGGTGCAGAATTCATGGTAGCTTTTAATCAGCTGGAACCAAAAGGTACTTTAGTTCCTAGTTTGGGGCGCTCACGACTTTTTTTTTTTGAGATGGAGTCTCGCTGTGTCTCCCAGGCTGGAGTACAGTGGCACTATCACAGCTCACTGCAACCTCCACCTCCTGGGTGCAAGCAATTCTCCTACCTCAGTCTCGTGAGTAGTTGGGATCACAGGCACACACCACTGCGCTCAGCTAATTTTTGTATTTTTAGTGAAGATGGGGTTTCGCCATGTTGGCCAGACTGGCCTTGAACTCCTGACCTCAGGTGATCTGCCCATCTCAGCCTCCCAAGGTGCTGGGATTACAGGCATGAGCCACCGCGTCCAGTTGCTCATGACATTTTTCTTTAAAGAGTACTCAGAAAATGTGTGAACCACTGGCTAAGTATTTGTGCTGTGAAGTCAGTAATCATCAGATTGTTCGTCAAAGTGAGGAGAACATGAATGGTCTCAAGATCTTAATCCACCCTGTCTGATGGCAAGACCAGGAAAATAGTGTTATTATGCAGGTAAGCAAGGAATCTAGTGATCTTTATCAAGCAGGCTTTATTCCCAGGTGTATCACCAAAGAGCATTTTGGTTGTAGAGTTTAAAACCCTTAATGTCACCTGCCAGCAGTTCTGCCAGTCCCCTTTCAGTCTCTCCTTGGAGTCCCAGGTGGTTGGAAGTCAGGCTCACCTACAGCAGGTACTCTGTGCTGCCAGTCTGCCAACATCAGCATCTTTCTTGCTTCCATTCCAGATTTTGATGGTAAACATAAAAATAAGAGTTTCTATGTGCAAGCCAGAGTAGTAGGCACATCATGTACTTATGTTCTAATCACAAAAACTCTCAGGTGTCTCAGAGTCAGAATGGAAACCCAGGTCTTTGAGGTTCAAAGCCCGGGGTAAGAGTCATGATCATAATTTCCCATGTGTGTGGACACTGAAGGCTGAGGCAACTACTGGATGACAAAGTCCACTTTCAAACTTTCTGCTTGTCCAGTTACTATATGCTGACTGGCTGCCATTGATCGGTCTCTGTGATTTGGCTTAGAATGTTGGGCAAATGACCACAGACACATGGTCAGAGACAAGATGAATCTCTTGGAACTGCCAGGACCAAGGCAGCCACACAGAGCTCACATCCAAAGGTGGCCCTTTCTTTACATGTGTGGCATAGAAAGGACTCTTGGCCACAGACCTTTACTATTATTCTTATTAAGAGTATTATTTGGCCTTCCTACTCCACTTAGGTATCAGGCAGGCTCAGTAGTATCATTTTGAAATTGGAGGACAGCAATTCATAGAGACTTAGAACAAATGAGCGTCTGTCACAGGAAAGAACAATCAGCAAACATGGAAAACTGGAGTTCATTTTAAGGAGTTTGTGTTTTTTACACTTCTTTTTTAAGGAGAGCGTTCCCTAACTAAATCTGGAGTAACTATGAATAAACAGAAGTGAGTTTGAATTCAATGCACATCACATTTTGCTGCAGTTTCCCGGATCTAGCCAACACTTTTCTGGGATACTTCCAATATTGAAGTTTTTCGTATATCAACAAGTAGTGTCTTAACAGAAGAAATACAAGCCAGGTGCAGTGGCTTGTGCCCGTAATCCCAGCACTTTGAAAGGCCAAGGTGGGAGGATTGCTCAACAACAGGAGGTCAACACTAGCTTGGGCAACATAGTGAGACCCTGTCTCTACACTTTTTTTTTTTTTTTTTAAAGTATCTGGACATGGTCACACGCCTGTAGTCCCAGCTACTCAGGAGGCTAAGGCAGGAGGATCCCTTGAGCCCAGGAGTTTGAGGATGCAATGAGCTATGATTGCACCGCTGTATTCCAGAGGGAGCCTCTCTCTCTCTCTGTGTATATATATGTATAATATATATTTATATATGTATATAAGTGTGTATATATGTATGTGTATATATATCTGTATGCTGACTATATATGAATCTGCCACTCCCCCACCCCACCATCCCATCAATAGATATCACCCTGTACTCAACCTTGAGCCAAATAATTGATGCAGTAGCAGCTGGATTTAAACCATCGTGAAGTATCTGAAGTGTCATATTCCCACATTGATTTAGGGAAGTATCCCAGAAAAATCTACTTCCTTGGTGCCTGTACTGGGTTGAATAACATCCCCCCCAAAAAAAATTAATGTCCACCCGGAACCTCAGAATGTAACCTTATTTGGAAACAGGATCTTTGTAGATGTAATTAGTTAAATGGAAGTCATCCTGAATTAGGATGGGCTCTAAATCCAATCACTGGTATCTTGATAAGAAAATTCACAGAGATACTAGCCATGCATGGCGACTCACGCCTGCAATCCTGACACTTTGGGAGGCTAAGGTGGGCGGATCGCTTGAGCCCAGTTCAAGACCAGCCTGGCTAACACGGCAAAACCTGTCTCGACTAAAAAAATACAAAAAAGAAAATAAAATTCACAGAGATAACGGACACATGGGGAGAAGGCCACGTAAGACACAGGCAGGAACTGGAGTGAAGCCGAGGAACACCAAGGACTTCTGGCAATTACCAGAAACAAGGAGAAAAATATCCAGCAGGGTCTCCCTCAGAGCCTCTGGAAGGAACCGACATTGCTGGCACTTGGATTTTTAGGCTTCCAACTTCCAGAACTGTGAGAATGCATTTCTGTTGTTTGAGGCCCCTGGGCCTGTGGTAGTTTATTACCCCAAGGAAACGTTGCAGGGTCAGAGATTCCCCCGTTATGTTCTTGTGTCTTTTTTTTCTGGAAAGCCAGTGGGGTTAACAATTGTGACTATATCCTTTAGTTCCCAAGGAAAGTAAATTTGGCCTCAGTGTGCCTCATTCCAGAAGACAAGCTATATACTACCCATATACCCATCTAAAGCAAAATACCCATATTTTGCTCTAGAAAAACATGCCAAGGGCATGTATTGTCTGTAAAGTCTCTGCTAAATAAATATTCCTCTTTAAGAGTTATACTGGCTTGCTTTGTGGATTTTTTTTAAAGAACGCCGGTCCATCCCACCGGGAAAGGAAGGTTGTAGCTGGATGTCACTACGGACACTTTCTGACCCAGGCCACCTTCACCACTCGCCTGCACACCGACATGCTGCTGGAACAGGCACCTGACTGTCCCCAGGGGCCGGGGGTGGTCTGTGAACCTCACCCAGAGCCCCTTATTGGTAAGGAATACACTCTGCCCCCAGACCGGGAGCACTGGTGTAGTTGAAGGTATCACTTTGAGCAGAGGTCACAGGCACTGCTGCATTCGCTCTGTACCCAGTAGGGAAGAAAGCAGAGCAAAAGCACTCTGCCTCTCAGTGTCTCTCGGTGTCTTGCATTTTACACCTCATTGCAATTCAAAGAATCCAAACATAATGGCCTGCCCTAAACCACAGGGGTTTAAGAACCATGCAAGCAACTTCTTCAGAGGAACAGGAATGGGAGAGGGAAGGATGTGAAAATGGGGCCTGGGAAGCCAGGCTGGCTCCTGCGGTCACCTGCAGGGTGATAGGCTTTCCCTGGGTATTGTTTTGTGTCTTATTCATAAAGTAGAATCAATAATTCTCCACTTTGTAGTTATGTAGCTCTTGGCCGTAACCTTTATAAAGGTCTATGAAACAGTGTCTGCTGAAGTCTTCATTTGAACTTCTTTTAGCATGCCAACCTGCCAGGAGACAAAAACAGAAACACTATGGGCTTCTGATCTTCTAAAAGCCACAGTCAATATACTTAACACGGGCCTAAGGACAAATGAGTGCATTCGTGTTGCTGGTTGTGAGCCTTCGCAGGGATTCATCCAATGAATTAGACGTTTCATTTATTGGAACCTCACACACATCTTGACCATTGATTTTGACAAAATATTTTGCCTCTAGAAAAACATGCCAATTTCCTCTTCCTTGTTCTCCTCTCCTCCAGGTTGGTCGACAACTTCTGCATTTGCGAAGGGTGCAGTGTCCCTCGCTGTCTCATGTATGAGATTTACGTGGAGACCTGTGGGCAAAACACTGAGAACCAAGTCAACCCGGCCACCTTTGGGAGGGTAAGTTGTTGAAGATTAAGAACGCTCTATTCACTGAGTGCAAAAAAAGGGAAGCAAGTTAATGGAGGAAATGTTGCAATGTATTTGGGTCTAATGGATTTTCAGTGGGTATCTTTGGATTCCTTCCCACTAGCTGGTCAACATCCTTCAGCTAATTGAAGAGCCGTCCTGTTAGCCACTTCCCTTTGTCCACACTTCATAGTGAGGGGCCAGGAAGGATGAGGAATGGGTAGCACCTAAGGGAATGTAATTATGGCAGCTCTAAGCACTCCTCAGGGAGCCAGGTTTGCTGGGATGGTATTCCCTGCAGAGAAATGCCAAGTTCTGAGAGACGCTTTGGCACCACACAAGCTAAGAGCCACTTTGTGGTATCGGACAACTGATGTTTCTTACAATTGGGTTGTGCTGAGAGAATTCATTGGCTCTTAAAAGATCTCCTCTGGGGGTTAGGATCTCTTTTTCTTTTTTTTTTCTAAGACAGAATTTCCCTCTTGTTGCCCAGGCTGGAGCAGTGGCGCGATCTCGGCTCACTGCAACCTCCACCTCCCAGGTTCAAGTGAGCCTCCTGCCTCTTGCATCTGTATGTCCAGGAGTGAACTTGCAGCATTAGGGGACGCATGGCTGGCTGACATCAAGGGATGTGGCCAAACCATTACCCTCCCCCCAGCAATCCTGTAGATTTCTATTTTACTTGCAAAACATCAAAATGATTAGATTCATTCTCCCAAACACAGTCTTCATCTTTGAAACTTCTGGTCATTTGTGGAAGTTCTACACTTCTGATAATCACAGAATCTTTTAATATGGAGGCTGCTTACGTATTTGAAACAACTGTTCACCTCTCCCTGTCTTCCCTTCACCTCTCTGCCCACCTGTTTCATTATGACTTCAATTATTGATGTTTCTCTTAAAGGTGGCCCCAAGGGTGTAACCCACTGCCTCAGATGTGCTCAAAGGACAAGAGTGCTTACCTTTTTTTGGGTACTATTGGCTTTTATTTTTCTGTATATGTTCACTTTAAACTTGTAGTCAACAGAATCAACCCTTAAGTATTTTTTTCTAAAGAGTTGAAATTAAGGTAAGCCTCCCCAAACAGTCTTGTAAACTATAAAATATTAATAGTCTATATAAATACAAAATGTTATCAGTTATCATCATGTAATTAACTGTTTGAACCCAAGAGTAGCTATTCTCTTATTCCTATTGTATTTTACCTCTTAAATTTTTTGTGTTTGTTTGTTTGTTTGTTTGAGACAGAGTCTTGCTCTGTCGCCAGGCTGGAGTGCAGTGGCATGATCTTGGCTCACTGCAACCTCTGCCTCCCAGGTTCAAGCGATTCCCCTGCGTCAGCCTCCCAAGTAGCTGGGACAACAGGCGTGCACCACCACGCCCAGCTGATTTTTTTGTATTTTTTTTAATAGAGACTGGGTTTCACTGTGTTGGCCAGGATGGTCTCGATCTCCTGACCTTGTGATCTGCCCGCCTCAGCCTCCCTAAGTGCTGGGATTACAGGTGTGAGCCACTGTGCCCAGCCACCTATTCAGTTTTGACCTGCAGTTCTATTTCTCACCATGTTCTTGAATCACAGGTGGTTCATCCAGTCTTCCCAATCTGCTGAAGCGGCTGTGTTTGAAAAGTGTGTCTTTTATCAAGTCATCTCGCTAGGTAACTCTGAGGTTTTCCCAGTAGCTGGGAAATCCCCCAGCTGCTATCATCCAGCTCATATTTTGCCATTTCATCACTTTGAATACTGGAAAATGTCATCCAAGGCTGAGCTGAGTGCTGGGTATCCTGGCCCTGCAGCATTTTCCCATCCGGCCATCTACCACCCTTATCAGAGGGAAGTGGGTGACTTTGACTTGATGTGTTTTGGCTCCATGGGATTCCTACCTCCTTTTCTAACATAGCAAAAACTCTTTTTCACGATCTTTTAAAGATCTTTTTATAAGGCTGTTTCACCTTCATGGTAATTCCAGTGCAAAGCATTAGGAAAAAAGTTAAAGAGACTCCAGTGTGTGACTACATGCAGCTAGGTGGTAATTTTTATCTCAATATTCTAGGATTCCTTTAAAATTCCCCCAAGATGCCAAGGCTTTCAGCTGTTGTTGGAAATTTGCCTGAAAAATGGGCCACATCAGTTGACCTGGTATTGGGAAGGGTCTCCGTGCTGCTGAATTTGTGACGGAATGGAGAAGGGAGGAGAAAGGAAAAGGATATGATCCCAAAGCGTGTTTACAAGAGAAACAACAAAATCCGCAATTCTCACTTCCTCCCTCCTCCCCTGGGAATGGAGTCAGTTTCTCGCCAAGTTCCTGTGCAGATGTTGGAATGTTTCTTGCTGTTTGTGGCTGTACTGGGCATATGATGGGTAAGACTCATTCCTGGTACAAGTGATATTTTACATGGATTAGGGAATTTCCAGAAGGCTGACTTCCTCTTTTGAAATAACATTTATTGATGTTTTTCTGATTATAAAAAAGACTACATCCCCTTTGTAGGAAATGTGGAAATTAGAGGAAAACATGTAAAAAGAAGAAAATGAGTGCCGGCTATCACTTCCCTGTCCAGAGATACAGGCACGTGTGTGTAGTTCATTTGCAGACATGCACGCTCACTCATGCACACATATGGGACCGGCAGGCGCTGGAGAAGTAACCACATGGCGACTTCATCTTCCTGTTCTGTGTCTGAAGGTGTCCAGTGGCTGGTTCTTCCCCAGCTCCTGAGTGAGCATTTGAGCAATCAGCGTGACCTTGCTGGAAACTCTTGGATGACACCAAGTCTTGTTGTCACTGTAACTACCTGGCAATGTCATCAGTCTGATGCTTACAGTATCCAGTCCCAGATAATATCAAAACTCTGAACTTGGTTTAAAGTAAAGCTGTTTCCCCTCCAGCTTGGTATCTTGCTACAGAGAACTAGGCCTGGGGCTTCTTCCCTCCCTCTGCCTCCTCCCACAGCTCATCAGGTGTGGCCTGACCCCTCTGGGAGGGAGAGAAGGAGAAGGAGGTAAGTGGCTGGACAGTTATTTTATGGCTGCAGGCTCTGGGGGCAGGCAGACCCTGTCTCCCGGTGGTGGTGTTCAGGGCCTCCTTGCGACTGTCCCAGGGCATCCCCAGGCTTGGTGAAAGACCCTTTTCAGCGGTCACGTGCTGCCTGTCCAGCAGGCTACCTCCCAGGGCTGCTGTGACTGACCGCCTTTCCAGGGGGCCTCGCAGGGCGGAGTCTGGGCTCTCCCACATGCCAACTCTTTCATGGAGAGGACACAGCCATTCTCAGCCTGCACAGATGGTGGGTGAGCCGGCTGAACCCACAGCTGCACCCATCTCCTCCACTCCCCTGCCAGAGCCGCTGGCCGGCCCTGCCCTCACTGCCCACCAGGAGTCTGATGCCGCTCTTTGAGCGACTCAGGCCTGAGGGGGCCCACAGCCCTCCCACACCAGGGAAGAGGGTGGTCTCGAAGTCGAAAAGCCCCTTATGCGTGCTCCTCTCTACCTCATTGTGGGGGATTAGTGTTAAGGGCTTCTGTAGCTTTCCATAACCACATTTCAGCTAACTACCCGAGGACACAAGTCCCCTAGGGTATGCATCTCACAATTCACTTTATGGCGTGTTATCTGCTATCTTTTTGCCTCATCCTGTCATATAGAGGCTGCAAGGCTTAGATGAATTGAAAGACTGATGTGTAGATGGATGATGGACGGACAGATAATAATTAGACAAGAGGACCCCGCAGAAGACTTTCTCCTTCCTAATTTGATTTTTGTCTCCTCTTTGGGCCTTGAGTACTGCACGGCCTCTTATTGCTTTCTTACCTCCTGACCATACCTATTATAAGGACTCCTTTTGACGAACTCTTCTTCAATTATTTTCACTTGAATGTGAAAATAACTGATAAAGATAAACAGGTAGATAGACACACAGGCAGAGACAGACAGATAGCCATCAGGTAACATGGTGAAATTTTTAACAGCACCAAGCCTGGAATGGAACTTCTTAGACTGTAACCCTGGGTAAGATAACCATCTTGTTTCCACTTCATATGTAAAGTGAGGATATTAATAATAGTAATATTAATAATAGTACCTACTTCATGAGGTTCTTTTAAGAGATGAATGAGAAACACATGTAAAGAGAATAGAACAGTCCTGGGACGTGGAAAGCACCCCAGAAATACTTCTATCATTCTTTTTGCCTCAAATATCACAAACATTTTCACATTAAGATATTTTCAAGTGCATCTTGTATAATAGCTGTGAAATATTTTGGGGGGTGTACCATAATTTAAGCATATCCCCCTTTTTTTTGAGGTAGAGTGTTGCTGTATCACTTAGGCTGGAATACAGTGGCATGATCTCAGCTCACTGCAACCTCTGCCTCCTGGGCTCAAGCAAGCCTCCCACTTCAGCCTCCCAAGTAGCTGGGACTACACGTGTGCCACCACACCTGGCTACCTTTGTTTTGTTTGTTTGTAGAGTAGGGTTTTGCCAAGTTGCCCAGGCTGGTCTTGGACCCCTGGGCTTAAGCAATGCATCCGCATTGGCCTCCCAAAGTGCTGGTGTGAGCCACCGCGCCCAGCCTAACGATATCCCTTATTGGAAATACAGGTTGTTTGTAACTTTCCTTTGTTGTAAACACTATAAGTCCCCATCCATATCTGGTCATTTTTTTTAGGATAGATCCCCACATATGGCCTACCAAATTGCTTTTTGCAACCAACTGTAAACAATTGCAGTCAGTGCTCATCCCTGATGATAATTCATGGTATTCTTAACACAAATTCATAACATTCCTACCCCAGAAAACTTGTTGGGTAAAAACTAGAATTAGCTGTTTCTACTTGCATTTATTGGATTGTAAGGTGAGCACTTTTGCATGCGCTTTGGTCATGTGTATGTTGTGTGTACATATTACCACCAGACCATTTTCTATTGGGGTGTATTTCCTATTGATTTGATTGAGTTCTGTCTATTTTCAGGATATAATTTTTAACTTATATT